CCTCCAGCACCATAATTCAAAAGCATCCATTCTTCGGCGATCAGCCTTCTTTATGGTCCAGCTCTCACTTCCATACATCACTACTGGGATGTATACATCACTACTGGCATTTCTGCTTCTCCCATACCTAGAAAGCATGAGTCTGAGTGGGTTTCCTCTTCTCCCACACTTTCTAGGCAGGGGTCTGAGTTGCTTGCCTTTGCCATGCTACTCCTCCCTGGAAAACCCACTCTTATTGCTAAATTGAAACCAATGGCAATCTGCAGAAAACCCAGTTGCCATTTGTTCCGAGTAAGAAAAGTGTGGGTTTTTGGGGGGTGGGGAGAAGTGGTAGGGTGAACCAAGGTGTGGATAAGTCCTAAGATTCAGGGATGGGAGCTCAGCACACCTCTACACAGGTGCAACAGCTCCAGGGGGCCAAGGTGCCTTTGGCCCACTGCATATTTGTTTGATGGGGGCCAGGCCCCTTAAATGCTGATGGAGCCTGGTGTGCATTGCACATGTGATGTCATGTGCGTTGTGCGTTGTGCAGCGCAGCTTCAGGGCCTGGCTCCTCCAGAGTGCTCAGCGCCATATGTTGCAGCTGTCTGGTGATGGGGGAATAAGCCCTGTATTCCCACCAAATCTCACTTAAAGTGAGGCAGAGATGAGAACCGTAGGAAAGGGAAAAGCAATTTCAAAAAGATTAGCTATGTTTTTCAGAAGGGTTCTCTGCCCACAATGGCAAGAAGGAGAACAAAGAAATAAATAAAAGCACCCCCCCACAAGACATAACTTTGTAGATGCGCGATGCAGCAGAACAGTGTTCACTAACCTGGTGCTCTCCAGATGTTTTGCACTGCAACTCCCATCAGCCCCAGGGAGTTGGTTGAGGCTGCAGTAGGAAGACCATTGGGCTGGGCTAGGAGAGACCTATAAGCAAACCCTCACCTGCATAACCCCAGCTGCTCTTACCTGCCCCTGCTTTTGCCACGGGCCAAGATAGCATTGGGAAAGGAAATAATGTAACTTGATTTTCACAGTGGGATGACCTAATCTGATACTTGGAATCTTGCTCGTAGAGCAGAAAGCAACTCCCAGTCGGATGATGCACTTCGGCAGATCCGACAATGCATTTTCCATGCACAAAAATACATACTTTATGTAAATGATACTCACAAAATGTGTATTCTACAGGTGGATGTATTGAACTGCATTGTCCAATTGTGATGGAACAGGACCCAAAATGGATGCAAATGACCTCTCACTGAGTGCTAGAGTTTAGAAATGGGGCAGAATTCGCTGTCTAGCCCAACATTTAGAGTCCTTGGACCCAGACTCCCTGGGTAGTAGTTGCTCCAAGGTAAGGGTACCAGATGTCCCCAGTTCCTGGGGGTAGTCCCCGGATTTGCAAATCTGTCCCTGGGAAATGTGGCAGCGGCAGCCTCAGCAGCCCGGAGCCAGCCTGGTAGCGCAGTTGGCTCTGGCTGGCTTCAGGAGCTGTTCACTGCCGTAGTGCCCACCATTTTTCCTCTCCAGAAGTCCCCATATGATGTGTTGCTGGGGATTTCTGGAGAGGAACAATGGCAGGTGCCACATCAGCAAGCGGCTCCGGGCTGCTGAGATTGCCGCTGCCGCTGCCACTGCCGAAGGGCACCGGCGGTACAGATCTCCTGCCCCCTTCCCCCTTTGCTTTGACTGATCGTGGGAGGCTCGGGAGTTGTGGGCCATTGCCCAGTTTTTTAAAAACTCTACGCATTTATATTTCACAGGGTGTGAAATAATAATAATAATAATAATAATAATAATAATAATAATAAATACCCTGCCCTCCCTGGCCAGGGCCGGGCTCAGGGTGGCTAACACCAAATATGAATTACAATAAAACGTAATAGAAAAAAACCAACAAACAACAACCAACCAACCAACCAACCAACCAACCAAACAAACAAACAGTTAATTAAAATATGGCTTAAGAAGGGTTTTGCACCTTGCCTGGCAGAGAAACCGTGGGCCTTGGGCCGCTCCTGGGCAGCCCGTGACTCCGGAGCCTCCTGCGATCTATCAAAAGAAAGGGGGAAGGGGGCAGGAGATCAGGGAAGGCCCGGCAGTCACGGGCTGGCAGTGCGCCGTTGCCCAGTTGCGCATTAATGCTTCACAGGGTGCGAAAGAAGGGCTTTGCACCTTTATACAATAAGCATGTGCTTGGGCCCAGGGTCTTTTGCCTCACCATCCCCACTACTGACTCCCTGTTGCTACTCAGCTTCCCAAAAAAAAAAAAAAAAGTGTCCCCAGATTCACTGAAAAAAAATCTGGTAACCATACAGAGTCTAAGGTGGAGATGGATTAACTCCCTGTCCATTTCACATATATTCACTAGCACCAGATTCTGCATTTAACTTATCCTACCCCACAATCCAGAGGGTACACTTTTGACTAGGAACTTTGCGGTTCTGCTAATTCCTGAACCCACCACCAAGAAGGACTCAATGGCAGCACACATCCTAATCTCAGGGTCTCGGGTTAGAGCCTCACACTGAGCGAAAGATTCCTGCATTTCAGGGGTTGGACTAGATGATCTTTGTGGTCCATTCCAACTCTGATTCTATGGCACTGGCCCTTTCACAAGCAGGCCGCAGCATCAGGAGACAGGGCTTCCATCTGGATTTTCAAGGCCATTGCGACAAGCAGTGAAGCAGCCTTTCCATTTCAAGCACCAGAACTGCTGTCCATGGTTCTGAAACTCTTGCTTCTGAATTCTGAGCCAGCAACCTGGGCTCTGTCCAGGGTCCTAACCTCACTCAGCACGGGAAGCCCTGAGGCTGCTTCCATTATTTCATTTGAACGGCCGCCTTCTCATGGCAGGGGCAGAGATAGCTGTGGATTTGGAGAGCTTTCCTATTAGATTTATTTTCTCCCGCCTCATTATTATCTAAGTCACATTCATCTCATAAAGACTGTAAGACTGGGGTCACCTCACAGCTGCGCACTGCATAGCACTTAATAGACCATTCAAAGCCATACATTCCAAGTGTGGTCACGCTATAGATCTGTGTTAAAAGCATGGTGCTAGTGCCAAGATTATTTCAAATCCTTTTCTTAATCCTGCCTAACACTGGACTCACCCTTTTCTCAACAGGCCTCTTGCCCAATCCAGTGATGTCGTACTGCGTCACAGGGGCTGATACTGCAGACACAAACATACCTGCTTCCTCCTACGGTTGAAGAGGGCAGTGGGCAAATTAAATCTTCGATACATCATGGGTTTAGTTTTTAGCATCAGGCCCTACGAATGAGTGTGTGTGTGAAGAAACAGGACTTTCTGGCATCTACTGTTTGAGTTTGGGTTGGAAAACCTGAGTTGTTAAATGTCTGGTTTTTCGCTGTAAAGGTTCTTCTGCACAGGAGGTCAAAAATTCACTGGGGGAAGTTCTACGCAGGAGGGTCAAAAGTTCAGCCTTAGGAGCTGGCAATTAAGGAGAAATTGAAACACAACCAGGATTTCTTTCTCCTTCTAATAGGCTTAGAGGTTAGAAGAGAATGTAAACGTATTGGGGCAGATTCAACTAACCTGGGGCAGTAGTGGAAGCCAGTGAAAGGAGTCCTGCTAGCACGGTGGAACTTCCTCTTGTCTCCCTGCTGCACGTCCCCACACATCCCCCTAATCCAGTGTGGAGTATAAGGAGAACCCCTTGAAAAGTGTACTGGGGGCAGGGGGAGGAAAGCGGAATTGCTTGCATCGACAGAACAATTGTATCAGCATGACATTGAATTCCACCCATTGCATAAATGCAATTATATAGAAGCCAATCTGGAAAACAGGGGTGCTAGCTGAAGATGCGTTGAAGAGGCACTTGAAGAACTGAAGAGAAATAACTGAATCACTGTAAGAGACAGAGAGGCATCACCATAGATGAAAAAGATCAGTGGAAGGTTGCAAGGGAACCCAGGAGTTGAATGATGCAAACTGAAGCATTCGCTTCGTTCGGAAAACAATCTACAATAGATATAGAGCTTGGGTGGTGAACCTCCTGCTTGCAGCAGGTCTATTCAGCTCTCCCTGTTCTCCTTGTTTGGCCTCCAAGGCTGTTGCATAGAACTGTGGAGTTGGAAAAGATCCAAAGGATTGTCCATCAAACCTTATGAGGAACGGTTGAAGGAGCTGGGTATGCTTAGCCTTGAAAAAGAGGACACTGAGATGGGATAGCCATCTTCAAATATCTCAAGGGAAGTCACATGGAAGAGGAAATAAGCTTGTTTTCTCCTGCTCTGGAGCATAGGACTCGAGCCAATGATTTAAAATTACAAGAGATTCCAACTAAACATCAGGAAGAACTTTCTGACATTAAGAGCTGTTTGACAGTGGAACAGTCTCCCTCGGGAGGTGGTGGGCTCTACTTCCTTGGAGGTTTATAAGCAGAGGTCGGATGACCATCTGTCATGGATGCTTTAGCTGAGATTACTGCATTGCAGGGGGTTGGACTAGATGACCCTCAAGGTCCCTTCCAACTCTACAATTCTATGCGTCTATGATCACATAGGATACTGGGCATGGCATAGGATACTGGGCATGGGATAGGCAAAACCACAGCTCTGAACAGTGCCAACAAAACATTCCTTTGCAGCTGTGGCTTGAATCTGGAGCCTCATCCTGCTGTGTTGCATTAAGCAAGGACCAAGGAGCTCCTGAATGCTGTGGCTGAAAAGGAACAGCCAGACGTTTTCCACTCACCTATGAAGCAGCACATAGTTAAACTATGGAACTCGTTCCTACAAGAGGCAGTGATGACCACCAGCTTAGCTGGCTTTAAAGGAGGATTAGACAAATTCAGGGAGAATATGTTGGGATACTGCCAGGGAGATAAAGTCCATCAAGGCCCCCAAGCCGTCTGCCGGACGATCCATCGACCTCCCGTAGGCACGCAGCGACATGAGTTTCTAGAAAATATCTTGCCACATTCCAGAGCTCATGCACGCTCTATCAGCAGATAATAGCACAGCCAAAAGTTGCACTCAGGAGAGCATTATTTACAAGTTTATTCAGCGTTGATCAGAACACAGAAAAACATGACTGCCTGCTTTAGTGTCTGCGACACCAGAGAGAAAACGAAAGCAACAGAAAACATAAACATCCTGTGAACAGGAAATACGCAGACTCTGACTCACAAAGCCTGCTCCCTTTTAAGGTGGAACGGAAATATCCTAACATCCTCCCCTTTCCGTGTAACCTGTAGTACCTGTGGTTCAACCCAATTGCAACCTTTGTACGTAAACCTTAAGTTGTTCTCTGTTAACAACCTTAGACAACAGATCAGCAGGAATTTCATTTCCTGGCATGTAGGACACCTGAATGAGTCCTTTCTGAATACACTCCCTTGCACGATGTAGCTTAATCTGCAAGTACTTGGTCCTTTGCTTGCAACTCTCCGAGTTCAGCAAAGCCAAACACGATCTATTGTCTTGATACACTTGTACAGGACATTTCACAGAAACTCTGATGTCCTTAAACAGTTGCATCAACCATTCACAATCCATGAGTGAAAATGACAGAGCATTGAGTTCTGCTTCACAGGAACTTAGGCTCACTGTCGTCTGCTTTTGCACAACCAGTCAAACAGGCAGTGGTTGTACATGTAGCATACTCCAGAAGTGCTTGTACCATCCGTGGTGTCACTTCCAAAACTTGCATCTGCAAAGATTTCAAGACCTCCAGTCTTCTGACTGGTGAACCTCAGCCTGTAGTGCATAGTCCCTTTCAAATAGCGGGCTATGCGCTTCAGAGCTTTCCAATCCTGAACAGTAGGATTGTTGGCATGTCTGCTAAGCAGGTTACAGCTTACAGCTATGTCAGGTCTTGAGCATCTAGCAATGAAATTCAACTTGCCTAGAATGCATCTGTACAGCGTTGTGTCAGAAAACGCTTCAGCAGTACTATCTACCTGGTAACCTGTCACCATCGGTGTGTCTGCTGGGTTTGCATCAACCAAATTCAACCTGGTTAATACATCAGCAATTTTCTGTGTTTGGTGTACCAGAAAATTACCTGCTTGGTCCCTCTCCACCTGCAGAGAAAGATAGTTGGATACCTCACCAAGATCCTTCATGTCAAAGTGCTCCTTCAGCTGAGCTAGGGTGCTTTGGTAGAAAGCCTGATTCTTCCAAAACATCAGAAGATCATCAACAAAACATAAACAATACAGTTTGTTTTGCCCCTCCTCCTTGACAAACACACATGGATCAGCTTTGCCCTGGTGAAAACCTAGAGAAAGCAATGTCTCAGTGAGTTTTGTGTTCCAACACCTGGCACTCTGCTTGAGACCATATAAGGATTTCCGCAGTTTACAGACCATTCCCTTCTGTATCTGCATCCCATCAGGTGGAAGCATAAACAGCTCCTCCCCCAAAATCCCGTACAAAAAAGCTGTATTAATGTCATGATGGGAAACATGCAGTTTCTCCTCTGCAGCTATCTTGAGCATCAGCCGAATGCTCTCATATTTGACGGTGGGTGAGTAGGTCTCGTGGTAATCCTGTCCTGGTACCTGTGAAAAACCTCTGGCAACCAATCTGGCTTTGTGTCTGACAACCTTGCCATTCTGGTCTGTCTTGGCCTTGAAGACCCATTTGCTGCCAACCAGTCTCATTCCTGGGACTACCGGTACCAGTTCCCAAGTTTGGTTCCTATTCAAGGAATCAACTTCAGCCTTCATGGCATTAAGCCAAGGCTCAGCATCTTTAGAGGTTAACTCCTGAACCTCTTTGAAGCTTGAAGGTTCCCACACCTTCTCTGAGCTACTAAGAACAGCAGTTGCTGTCTTAGCAAACTCATCAGCAAATCTCTTTGGAGGTCTGCCCTTTGTGGCTCTTTCAGATCTGCGTACTAGACGCAAGTCTTCTGGACTCATCTCCTCCTTCTTAGGAGAAAAGTGACCAATGGTGAACAGTGGTTCTTCCAGTTCATTGTCAGACGCATCAGATGGTCTGACTGAGGCCTTTGCGCTCTTGTAGTCTGCTGTGTCATCACTGTCACTGACACCAGCAGCAGCGCCGCCCACTGAACTGGAATCCGAACTCTGATCATCATCGTCATCATCATCCTCAGCAGCTTCCTCAGCTTTAGCTGCTTCTTTGACATCACCTTCATCCTCCTCTGGGTAACTCTGGAAAATTCCCACATTTCCCCCCCACTTAGGATTGTACTCAACACTCTTTGTGAACTTAATGGACTTAGAGTCAGTCATCCATACCCTGTATGCACCTTTTCGTACCCCATGAACAAACCATGTGCCCCACGCTTCCCAAGCTTGTTGCTCTGTGGGGTGTGTACCCACATGTCAGAACCAAAGATTCTCATGTGTTTGATGTTGGGTTTCTTACCAAACATCTTCTCATAGGGGTACAACCAATAGGTGATGACAATCTGCGATTATAAGTGTAAGCAAAATTCGACAGAGCCTCCCCCCAATACTTATCAGGGAGATTGGCATCATGCAACAATGTTTTCATTCCTTGCAGCAACGTTTGATTTGCTCGCTCCGCAAGCCCATTCATCCATGGCGATCTAGGCGTTGACAAGTCATGCTGGATTCCCTTCTCAGTCAGGAAAGCTTCAAACTGCTGAGAAGTGAACTCCCCGCCTCGATCAGTAAACAGACAGCCAATGCGTTTACCGTGAACATTCTCCAACCAAGCACAGAATGCCTTGAACTTAGGAAACGCTTGCGATTTCTGCTCGAGCATAAACACATGAATGTACCTGGAAAAAGAATCAATTAGAACCATGAAGTACCTTGCTCCACCCAAAGAGGGCGCAAGTGGACCAACCAGGTCTGCGTGCACTAGCTGGTAGGGTTTGGAAGCCTGCCTGCTAGACTCCTTGCCTTTTGGAGCAACCTTCACCTTGTTCTCTGCACAAGATACACATTTCATGTGAAACTTACAGGGTTTGATGTTCAAACCCTCAACCATCTCTGGCATCTTGGCCAGTGCCTTCCAAGAGAGATGGCAAAACCTTCTGTGTGCATCGTGAATGCATCCTGCATGAAGAACTTTGTTAGTTTGTGCAACACAACAAGAATCAGCATTAGACACAACAGCACCATTGTCATCATAAGTTATACAGAACAAGCCATCCATAAACTTTGCATGCAAAATGTCCTCTTTGCCTTTTCTGATGACACAGACGCTCCTCTTGAAGGAAATCTCAAAACCACGCCCAGTCAGCTGTGGGACACTGAGCAAATTGTCTGCAGCGCCTGGAACATACAGTACATCTTTGATGGTAGTGTGCAGACTTGCCAGTTTCACAGTCCCTTCTCCTGCGATTCGCAACGTCTTTCCGTCAGCCAGGTGGATCTCACCTTCTTGAGGCTTGAAGGAGATAAAGAGATGGCGGTCTTTTGACACATGGCGGGTACAGCCTGAATCAACAACAAACCTGGCTTTGACCTTTGGAGCAGCTTTTGCAGCAAGCAAAACCTTGTTTTCCAACGGCGTGGGCTTTTGCAGCTTGCCCCCCTGCTCCTGGCCATCAGACTTGCCTTTAGCCTTTGGTGAGGCTGTGCCAGCAAACAAAACCTTGTTTTCCACCGGCGTGGGCTTTTGCAGCTTGCCCCCCTGCTCCTGGCCATCAGACTTGCCTTTAGCCTTTGGTGAGGCTGTGCCAGCAAACAAAACCTTGTTTTCCTCTGGCGTGGGCTCTTCACCCTCCCTCTGCTTCTGGCCATCTGCAGGCGTCTGCCTCTGTTTACCTTTGCCCTTCCGGCCTCTGCAAAGGCGATGACCTTGGTTCCCATGAGAAACAGAGCTCTCAGCTGCCGACTCCTTGGCTCCCCCTAGAGGCTGGAATGCTGCCTGGGATGACGTGACAGTCAGCTCCCCCTGCAGCTTGCAACCGGTGCCCTCAGCATCCCTGCATTCACTCGCATTCTGGGAAACAGCCAGGACCTCCGATGCAGTCAAACTCTGGGCTGGGATGACTGGCAGATGGGCTACTTTCAAAGCATGCCACATCTTTCGTGCAGTCACATTGCCAGCAAGCGTCTTAATTTCCTCCAGAGAGACGGACACGACTAGTATGTCTATCGCCTTCGAATTTTCGGCCCTCCATCTATCTGTCAGAGGAACTGGAGGGGCTTCAGACACAGTATGCCACACTCCAAACTGACGCAGCAAACTCTCACACCATTTTGCCCAGGTCTGATAGTTGTGCCGATTTAGCTTTGGGCACTCAGCAGCCTCAGAAGCCTGGAAAAACTCCATTCCAGCCTTTTATTTGAGCCTGAGTCTTATTCACTTCAGAGACTCCTTATCTTGGCTCCCATTAATCACGAAGCCTTTGGCGTGGCTCCCAGATCCAATTAGGCCTGCCGGACATCAAAGGGACTTTGCCGCGGCAACGAAAAGCCTCACTTTCGCTTTTCTTCCACATACCTTTCAGCAGTCTGTCGCAGTCTTACTCTCCTGTAAGTGCTGTGAATCTGGGCCCGAAACCTGTTGTTGGGATACTGCCAGGGAGATAAAGTCCATCAAGGCCCCCAAGCCGTCTGCCGGACGATCCATCGACCTCCCGTAGGCACGCAGCGACATGAGTTTCTAGAAAATATCTTGCCACATTCCAGACTCATGCACGCTCTATCAGCAGATAATTAGCACAGCCAAAAGTTGCACTCAGGAGAGCATTATTTACAAGTTTATTCAGCGTTGATCAGAACACAGAAAAACATGACTGCCTGCTTTAGTGTCTGCGACACCGAGAGAAAACGAAAGCAACAGAAAACATAAACATCCTGTGAACAGGAAATACGCAGACTCTGACTCACAAAGCCTGCTCCCTTTTAAGGTGGAATGGAAATATCCTAACAGAATAAGGCTGTCCATGGCTGGCTCCTAGCAATGTGGGCTCTGCCCTGCATCCGCAGTCAGAGGCAGCAATGCTTCTGAATGTGGGATGTGAAACACAAGAGCAGTCAAGTACAACATTCCTAGAGTGAACATCTTTCACACCAGTGTGGCAGCTGCTGGATGACCTTGTGCTAGTCACACTTCTTTGAAGTCTCTCAGCCCCACTCACCTCACAGAGTGTTTGTTGTGGGGGAGGAAGGGAAAGGAGAATGTTAGCCGCTTTGAGACTCCTGAAGGGAGTATCAAATCCAAACTCTTCTTTACACATGGGGAGGAATGTTTGTCCAGCCAGCAGGTAAACTTCCTATTTCCTTCTGGGCTGGGGCAGACTAGAGGTGACTAGAGGTGGGCGTGGCCTCACCTGTGCAGGTAATGACAAAAGCACAAGGCAGGGCAGCCATCTCTCTCTCTCTCTCTTTGACTACATGCATCGAAGAAGCAACATCTGCTTAGCCAAAGATGCTCTCTTGGCCTCCATCCAAGAGAGGACAAAGGGACTGTCTCCTGATGAGATAGTTTCCAGGTGTATGTTACTTTTCTAAGCTAAGTCTGCCTTCTGGGATCCGATTGTGAACAGAATGTGAGTAAACTCTTTTTATACTTTTATAGAAGACTGTGTTGTGTCTTATCTTTTATGAGGGAATAAGGGGGAAATACCAGAACAGTTGTTATAGAGGTTTTAGTGAGCCTGAGCAAACGCATCCGCTGTGAGTTTAAAAAGGGGAATGTTACTCTGCTAAATTGTGAACTTGTTAACACAAGTTGGAAAGGCTATAATCCAACAATATATCCTCTCCTGCATCCCTGAACATTCCCACACTGAATACCTGCCTCTAGCAGGTGCAGGAGGAGAGAGTTGCTCTTGTGCTTGGATCCTGCTTGCAGGTTCCCCATTGAGGCACCTGGTTGGCCACAGGGAGAACAGGATGCTGGACTAGATGGGTCATTGGCCTGATCCAGCAACCTCTTCTTAGGTTCCTATGGCGCAGTCTACAGCCTGTCTCATCACAGAGAGGAAGAAAATACGAAAGCTGTACATTGAATTAAATGTATGGTTTATATGGGTGAAATGTATAACTTACATGCAAATAAATAAATGATAACCTTGCATATCTCCTTCTAAACATCTCCAGGGATGGGTTTCCTTAGGTGGCATTTTCCAGCACTGGGACCACATTTTCAGAATGGTCAACATTTGAGCAACTCTCCAATTACTTAAAAGGATGCTGGCTGATGCCACTTATTGAATGAATGATTTCCCCCCCTTTCTCCCCCCCCTCCCCCTCCCCCTCTTCTTTTGGAATGTAGCAGCTTATGTGACATTCCCAGTAATATCTCTGGCTTCTTTTCCATTGTGTCTGTGAATTCTCTCCCCTCCCCCCCCCGAAATTAAAACACCAATTGCTTGGTTCGTGGATGAGGGCCAAGCGAGTGGATAGGGTGAACGGGAGGTCAGCTCCAAAGTGAGCAGATGCTCAGAAACATCCTTTCCACTCTTCGCTTTGCAATAAGCTTTAAAAGGTTTACATCAGGACTTGTCAGTCTGCAATTGTGTCAGCATGTAAGGCCCCGGCGAGAGATCTCAAGCAGGGGACACGGAGGATGAGTCAGACCCAGTTGCCTTAATCCCTTGGCAGCTGGCCAGAAGAGGGCACTGCTAACCTGCTCTCTGGTGGGCCGCCGCTGCAGATGGGCAGAGAATGGGGCCACCTGCCCTGCTCCTTGGCTAAGATGTTGGGCTCAGTTTGGTCTGAACCAACAAGTCTTTTCCTACATTGTACTTTGGTTTGTTTGTTTTTATCAGACCTCCTGATAGTCAGCCTTGTATGTCCACTGCACGTTTTTTAACAGGGAGAAAACATGCATTCTTCACACAATACAAAATTAAACAATGGAATTTACCAGCACAAGATGCCATGATGGCCACCAGCTCAGAGGGCTCCAAAGGGGTGTTAGACAAACGGACATGAGATGAGAACTGCTGGATCAGGCCAATGGCCCATCTAGTCCAGCATCCTGTTCTCACAGTGGCAAACCAGATGCCCCGATGGGGAACCTGCAAGCAGGATCCGACCACAAGAGCATTCTCCCCTCCTGTGGTCTCCACCAACTGGTATATGGAAGCATGGGAGGGTA